TGATCCCTTTTATAAAAGAAAATCCAAAAACTGTGCTTTTCCACTTTTCATCCAGTACACTGCAAAAACACAAAATCTTACCAAGTATTATTTTTGATCTTGTTTCTAGTGCAAATATATTAGTACACTTGAAATAAGACAAAACTAACTTACAGCCAACTTTTCAGCAGCATAGGACATTGTCTTAAAATAATAATTCCTTAACATTGATGGAAAAGTCCTAGTTACATGTGAAATGATCAGTCAGTGGAACAAGACATTTTTCCCATGTACACAACTCCTCCAGTATGAAATGTTGGGGTGACAGCATGAGGCTCAACATGATAAGAGTTAAAGTGCAGAAGGACTGAGCCAATTACAGGACAGTAAAAACCTTGCAAAAGTACAAACTTTGTCAACTTGTTGCACAGTTTTTCATTTCATGAGATCGTCGCAGTAGAGCAACCCTGAACTTCCACCCAGAGCTACAACTGAATGGTTTTGGTCAAAGTCTATTCATGGCCAGATGTAAACCAAACTGAGAATCTGGATGAATAAGAATGTGCACAATATGCTGTACGTTGTTGGGATTTTTTTTTTTGTTTTTCACAATGTAAAGCACTTTGAACTACTTTGTTACTGAGATGTGTTATGCAAACAGACTTGAGTGATTTGTTGATTGAGCAAAGACCTTCTGGTAGAGAGACGCCTCACGCTGGAGGTTTGCAGTTGTGACGTGACAAATAGTGAAAAGGTCCAGATACTCCGACCAGGCACTATCAGGAAATCTCATGCCGGAACTTTGATGTAGCTGCAGCAGTGCTGGAAACAAATCCCTCATTGCCAAGTGCTCTTTTCCCCCTCGGGCTTCAGTGTTGCAAAATAAAAACACTGAATTTGATTTGCATGCAGCGATTGCCTCATATCAGATAATCTGCTCTGATTTATTGCTGCTCCTGCTTGTTGACCTGGGAGGTGAATAATGGGGAAGAGAGACAGAAATGCTCTCTTTTTTCTGTTGTAGAGAAATTCACAACAGAGATGATTTTGTCAGACATTTTCATCATCTTTCAGGTGTTGCAGAAAATGTTTCTCCACGTTATATCTGTCTGTTGGGAGGACAATGACTTAAGAAAAAGTATAAAGCTGTTCTTTTTAGTGGCATGCATCATTCCCATTCTTTACCTCGAGGTGCGATATGGAGCCTTTTAATAAAAATAAAGTTATATTTCACAATACGATAGGGTGGCAGCAACAGGTTCTTTCATGAACAAAAGAATAACAAACTGATAATAGATGGGTAACTAGTCAGACTATAAATCCTGCAGTTGTCTGCTCAACAACTGCAGCACTACCTCAATGTGAGTCACTGATTGCTCTTCATAGTTCACATCATCATCCAAAACTGGAAAAATGTTCAAGTGGCCTAAATTGTCTTAGTTATTGGAAGGGGAAAATGCAACAGCTAAAGGAGAGTGTGCAGCAATGGGTTGGGGAGGGGAGGTGCCAACACTTTCATTGGGATCTTGTTGAGTTTAAAATGTAACAATATAATGCACAATTTGTGAAATGTTGAAAATCAGAAAACATCAAAGTCAACATCATTATAGCTTTACTTAAGTTTTATGAGTTGATAAAACATTTTTTAATGGTTTCCATTGTAACCAGCATACTATGATCCTGCTTTTTGTTCACCCATGGTGCAAAAAACAGACGCGCTCCAGACTGGACTTTGCCAGTCTGAGAGGAAACCGTCTATGTCACAATGTGAGCAGCTATTAGTTATAGATGACTCACGTTGTTATTTTTATCTCTGTTTCTGAAAAATCCTGAGCAGTTTGAGTCAGCCACTGTTCTGTTATTAATCCAATAATCATCTGTTTTCGTCCCACACTGATGTTACCCTTACATGAATGATTTTCAGAGGAAAAAAGAAATTTTGTACCAGATAAAATCCACAAGATTCTGTTGAGTCTATGTAGGCCAACCTCTGATTTCTCTGTGGAAGAATTAGATGAAAAACAGTCTATAAACTGTGTCGTGTTTATATGTTCATTCAGTTAACTGTTTATGGCTCTGTCTTTTGAAAGACTTGCTGAATGATGTTTTTCATCATCAGACAACATTTTTAAATCTCATCTCAGGCAGTTTATTTTGGTCTGCTTAACCCTCTGTGCTCACATACATTGAAAAAAAGCCCTAAGTCAGAATTCATTTCAGTTCAAGGAAATTATGATTTATCATATTTGCTTAGTATGCAAAAAAAAAAAGAGTGAGCCACACATTCACAAAACAATAAAGTGAACATCATTATCCGTTCCCTTACGTAAGAACAAGAATCAAAACAAAATGTATAGTTTTTAGTGCAAAAAGAGCTATAGATAGAAAAATCAGCATTCTCCTAACATAGCGGTAGAGATCTTTGAGATAAGTTGGGTCATGTTAAGTTTTAAGTATGCATTTGATTAGAAAATGTACATTTGTGAGTAATTTTGTCCTTTGCGTATTTGTTGGCAAACTAAGTAAATTATCAATTAACAAACTCCTACAAAATAAATAGTGAATTGTTCACCCTAATATCTTAAGAGCCATAAAGTTAATTTGTGTAAGCAAACACTTAATAAAAACTTTAGATTTTGGGGTTTCATTTGCTGCATAGAAAAAACACTACAGTATTTCTTAACAAAATTATAAAAACATCAGGGAAAGATGCTACAATATTATAATTTTACTATATTAACAGTTTGATGCTCTTTTATTTATTTACTTTTCACCACAAACTGTTAGTTTAGTCATTTTGCATTTCTTTTTATCTCTTTCTTTCTTGTCTTTTACTAGGTTAACATGTAAGAAATATCAAACATGTAGATGTAATTATTAATTAACTCAGATAGGCCTTTTCCCCTCATTTAAAGCAACATTTTCAATGTCTATTCCCTCCCTGGGAAAGGTTATTCAGGGATGCTGAAAATACGGCACAGTGATTCTCCTGAATCAAACCTCAGATTCAGGAGAATCACTGTGGCTTTTATCCCCTCAACCACTTCTTTACTCTCACAGAACTGCTGAGAGGGTCATTTGTTGATTTGGGAAAAGGTGGACTGTTTCCACCTTTAGCAGGAAAATCCAAGCATCTTCACGCCTTATTCAAGAGTCACGGTGGGATGAAGTGGGAGGTGGACAGATGAACCTGGAGCCTCGTCTGCCGTAATCTGGTCATTTTTCTGGTCTGTCACGGCGAAGAAAGAGCTGAGGGAACAAACGACCTACGTTCTGACTCCTAGCTGCCATCATGAATTATGCCGTTTAATTATTAGTAGTAGTAATGAGATTTTTAAATAATTTTCAGTGCTAGCAAGACTGAAGGACTTTAATGTTGTTGATTTATAGTCAGAAAGATGAACGTTTGGGTTTTTTTACACTGACCTGTGTAAAAAAAGACAAAAGGAAAAAAAACAATTAGCCAGTGGAATAGTGACAGCAAACAACTTCAGAAACGAACGTCAAGTTTTAATTATTTTTGGTCACAATTATGATGAAAATATCTTTTATTTTTGACACAATAGTCTTTAGTGACCTACAAAAAATGTTTTGTATTTTTTGAGGCTTAATTCAATAATGTAGCTCAATATTTAAATTTATTTTAGATAACATTTCTAGGCAGTACAGGGATACTTTTAAAGACGAAGAAGGCAAAAATAAGATTTGCATTTTCATGTTTATATGGAGTCCCAACAGGGTCAAACTAGGGGAACTCAACAGACCTTTGACTTTGATTGGCAAGTTATTGGAAACTTATTTCATAGTAAATCTGCAGGAACAAGAACCATGAAAAAATTAAACATGTGTTTAATTAACAGCCCTAAGTTTATGGCTGTTAAACAAATTATTTATACATTCAAATAATCATTGATTTATTTCGAAGTGCATTTAATTAATGACCAATTTGGCCCTTTTGGTCTTCCACAGGTTCTTACGTGTTATGCAGAAATACAAAAAAAAAAAAAAAAACTAAACAAAAAGGGAGATCTAAAAAAACTGTAACAATTCCCTCAGACTCATGCTCAGCACATCCTGTCAGCGCTTAACTATTTTTCAGTGTTCAATGCTCTGCCATGCTGGCCATTACATCAAACAGAAGGCTCTAAATAGTCATGTTTTGCGAGGAGGATATTTTCAGACAAGGTGTTAGCTGTTGTGTACTGTACTTTATGAAAAGGTTTATAAATATCTCTGAGCAGGTGGCTAAAGCCTGAGCTGCCCATCTGCTCCTTAACCCTCAGAAATACAAGAGGATGCAGGAGCGCGACTCTGTCTGATTGTATTGATGTTTTAATATTTTCACAGCGAACTTTAACAGAAACCCGCAACACGAAACCTACAAAAATTTCTGCAGCATCGACTTCTGAAGCTGGCATTCCGAACTTTAAGAGAAATGGTGTGTCTTTGTGTGTGTACGTATGCGAGTGCTTTAAAACCAGTTGGTCCATGTGATGATAAAACACAATAAGCCTCTTAGGTCTAATCCAGGCCCGTTGGGTAGGGAATGTCTCACACATGATCACGCGCACACACACACACACACACACACACCACACACACACACACACCCCCACACACACACACATACACACACACACACACTACCATGCAGAGTTAACATAATCATTAGATGCAGTTGGAGAAAATCAGCAAAAAAAAGCCTGAATGTGTCAAGATGGATTGTTGAGAAGTGACCTTTCACCTGATGGAGGATGGAAAAAGATTTGTGTTTTTTCAAAGGACTCATAATTTACACAAATAGTCAACCATTGAAGTTCATTTGGTTTGTACATTAGTGAGCAACATCATCATGCAGCTCTGCTCAAAACACCATTGAAAAATTAAAAGAGTGTAGCCCAACTTCAGACCAACTAACATGCCCATCAGCCTGTTTTAGCAGATGGACATGTTAGAAACATCTGTTTCATTCACGTATTTTAAATTTGCTTGCTTTGGCTGTGTGTAAATTTTTTTTCCAGATTACCTTTGTGCTCCAGAGGAAAATGTCCACATGATTGACTTCACCCGGTTTAAAATCCGTGACATGGAAACAGGAACCGTCCTGTTTGAGATCACCAAACCTCCAACACCAGGTCGGAGCCAAGCCCCAGAGACCGAAACTGCCATCTTTAAAGTGAAGAAAAATACATTTTTTACATGATTCTGAATATTTTTTTTTTTGTTCACCTGTTTGTGTCCAGGTGGTTTAAAGCAATGTGACCCCAACACCGGCCGTTTTGTTCGATACCAGTTCACTCCAGCTTTCCTCCAACTACGACAAGTTGGAGCCACGTAAGTGAGAATGTGGAGAGTGTGTATGATAAGAATTTATAGAAAACAAAAGAGTGCTCTGAAGCAATGGAAAACATGCAGCGGTCCCTGCTGCCGCTGCCGCCGCTGCTGAAGAGCAGAGGTAGGAGGCATGAAGGGTTCAGTTCGGGACAACAGACTCATGGTGATCCGTGACAACAGCTCAGACAGACCGCATTAAAGGTCTTCATCATTTCAGTCCCGCTCCGTGACTTCTTCAGATTTTGAATTCAATGAAGCAGCTTTATCATAGAGATACAAATTCATATTACACTGTGCATATAATCATTACTTCTATTTCATTTTTATCAGAAAAAAACAAATGTTTGTGCTGACCATTAGTTCCAGCCAAAACCATAATACATGATCTGTTATTACACCGTCAGTATCTCTTTTTACCACTTCTCCGATTATTATTACACACAAAAAGCATGGTTTAATAGCAGGGAGCATTTTTATATACTTACATTTAAAACTGTACTCCTTTCCCACTCTTTCTCCCAGTTCACCAATCATTGTTAGAAGAACACATTGAATCTTGAATTAGGTTTGGCTGCAAAGGACACCTCAGACCCGACCTTCAAATCCGGTAAAAGGAAAAGGCAGCTGAGGGTCAAACTTAGAGAACCGTTTGAATTTGAACTGCCTTCGCTGCATCGCTGTGACATAATCTGCCTTCAAAATCAGCCTTCAAACATGAACATACCCACAGTACCTCTGCAGCACTGCTAGCTGCAATAGGAAGTTAGAAAAATAGCACAAATGCATTAATATAACAATCATCACTGGAATGATAGTAGTAAAAACTTTATTCTGGTGTTGATTCAGATGCAAAGCTGTTCCCTTTTGCCTGTTGCATGCTTCACCACAGAATGTTTGAAGCTTTAAACTCTAACTGCAAGCTTGTGAAACCGAAAAGGTGTTCAAAGAAAGATTAGGATTGTTAAAACTATTGACGTATTTTGATCTGAAAGTAGTATGAACAAAAAATGTAAAGGAAACCGAATGTAACCCTTTCATCCACTTTCCAGATGTTAAACAAAAAAGGCCCAGTCATCTTTAGAGCATCAACGAGCAGCAGCACATTCGGTGAGTCTGTTTTGTCCTTGTGTCGCCACAGAGTGGAGTTCACAGTAGGAGACACCCCCATCAACAACTTCCGTATGATCGAGAGACACTACTTCCGCGACAAGCTGCTGAAGAGCTTCGACTTCGAGTTCGGCTTCTGCATGCCCAGCAGCAAGAACACCTGCGAACACATTTACGAGTTCCCCACGTTGTCCGAGGAAACCAGTGAGTGTTTCGCATACAGGGGACGCCGTGACACATCACCGAAAGAGGCAACAACACTCGCACAGCTGGAACGGATTTAATGTACCAAAATCCTGATCGTGGTGTGGCTTTCCTCTCTGTGTCTCTCTTTCAGTGCGCGAGATGATCCAGCACCCTTACGAGACACAATCCGACAGCTTCTACTTTGTGGACAACAAGCTGGTGATGCACAACAAAGCAGATTATTCCTACTGCGGAGGGCCGTAGGAAGACCATCTCCGCTCCTCTGATTCAAGACATTTTCAGGACCAGAAACACATGAACTGATGGACAAATCGCTGGCTTTAGATGCTCATTTATCACCCCTGTTAGCTCTGCACATTCCCACTCAGGCACTTAGCTGCCTGGACAACGAGCAGCAAAGTCTACCAGTTTGCATCAGAGTACATGGATGGAAGCGTGTGGGCAGCACAAACGGGCCACTGATTTCAGTCTGCATATGTGGGCTCAGCTTCATCAGGAAAAGAGAGGACTTTTTTTTTTCTTTTCTTGTTTTTATTTTTTGTGTTAGTTGGTGGCCGGAAAATAATCAAAACCCCACTATGCAAGCCCAAGAAATAACATGGATCATTTTTATGGGATTTTACAAATTTACTGCATTTCTATAAGATTCAGCATCAGCAATAGCACATGAAATGGACTGAAGAGAGGGACAAAAATAAAACAAGCATTACAGTGATAGAATCAGGTTTCAAAATATATTTAAGTTGTTCCAATCTTTTAAAAGTTATGATGTCTGATGCAACACAAGATGCTCTCATATTTTGTGAAAGAACTTCCTTCTTCCTCCAGGACAGGACCAATTCTTCTCATCAACCGGTTTCTGAATTTAAGTAAAACCTACAGCAGTAAAAATACAATCTCTGTTTCAGTTTAAGAGCATTTTCCCAGTAGTTTTGCAATATAAGGAAAAACCCATTCACAGTGGAAACAATTGAGTCTGACCAGGAAACGTTTTTATCAGCCTCCTGAGCAGGAATAAGCTTTTTCCTTATTCCTGCTGTAGATGTTTAGGCTTTAAGACAAACCTTTTTCTCAGTCACCTTCATAAAGAGTACAAAAGTATTTACACCTGTTTAATGCTGTATGCTGTCACATTAAAACCACAGACTTTGGTGTATTTTATAAGGAATTTATGTGGCAGAAAAACACAAAGTAGTGCAAAATGTCATGGGTTTAAACATTTTCTAATGGATACATGTCTTCTACATGTGCATGCATTTATGTTTATGTTTGGTCTCAGATTGACCAGCATCCATTTTCTCATCATCTCTGCCTAGCGTCCCTGTCCCTGCTAAAGGAAAACACCCCACAGTGGGATTTTGCCACCGCCATGTTTCACTGCAAGGTCCGATTTTCATTTATAAAACTAAAAAACATGAAAAGCATGCATGCTTTCCTTCTCATTTTAAAACATGCGCTACTTTGCGTCGCTCTGTCGTATGAATCCAAATAAAAGACAAGAAAGTTTTCAGTTGCCGTCCGTCCATCCATTAGCTTCCACTTGATCCGGGTTGGGTCAGAAGCAGACGTTTTGTTCTCCCTTTCCAGCCACTTGGTCCAGCTCCAGGGTGTCCTGTGTCTCCCTCTGCGTCTCCTACTGGTGGACATGTCCAGAACACGTCATCACGGAGGCCAGAGACGCCACCTGAACTGATTTTTCTGAGTGTGGAAGAGCATCGGCTTCACTGTGGGCCCTGATCTGCTCACCGCAGCTGTGCGTACGGGGCAGAAACCCTGCAGACATCACTCATTACTAAAGTTTTCAACTGTGACATAAAAAAATGTGAAAGATGTGAATACCTTTGCAAGGCACTTCTCATGCTCTCTTCAATATCAAGCTAAATTGTAAACCTAGGTTTTTTTTTTTTATCATACAACATCCATATAGTTTCTTTGTGTGTGTGGTAATGGAGGCATTGATATTTTCTGCTGGTGTTTAGATAAAATAGAATGTTTTATTTGCAACTATTTAAAAACTTTTTTTTGTTATAACTGATTATATGTAGGAAAACTACAATATACAGAAAGAAAGACACAAAGTTTTATAGAATTAAACGCATATTTACAGTTTATAGCTTTATGGCACTTTTACTCTTATAGTTACTTAAAATTGTATTAGCAGACATATCTAAGTGACTCTGTCTTCCGCCTGTGTTTTGTTGCTGTCCAGATGACTGAGTCCTTTGTCTTTGTGAGAATTTGATTCGATCCATGTCTTCAGGTTGACTTTGCCGCCACGGCAGGGATATTTTTAAGAGCCAGGAAAAATCCAGTTCCAGTCAGAGGCTAACATACACTCATCAAGTTTGGTTTAAGCTCTTCTTTTTCTAGGGCTGAATCATTATACCCAAGGAACTAAATTCAATATAAAAAAATTTTAAAAAAAACTGGGTGTATCAATTTTAATTTGTCACAGATTTTCTCTGAAATAAAGAGTCATAGTCGTAAATAAAGGCTGTGTATGCATTACCTGAAAAGATTGAATAAGTGGTGTTGAAAGCTCTGGAATGTTTTACTTGACAAAACCGAGGCCTGTTTATGTAGCGACCATATTCGGTTCTGGGTGGTGGGTTTCTCTTTGCTGGTTTAAAATGGAGTTGTTTGAAAACAATCTGCAAGTCCAACAAACTCAGTGAGGATCTAAGAAGGAGGATGTAGATTTACAGTGGTGGGGAAAGTTTTTTTTTCTAGACGAAAGGTGATTGGTTTGGATGTTTTGCATTTATTGTCCACAGAGAGGCACTAGACAGAAAGAAATGAACACATTCACACTGAAAGGAGGTAAAGGAAAGAAGAAAAAAAAAAAGAAAAGCTTTGCTGGTTTTATCTTTTTGGTCGCAATGACCCAAACCAACATCAGAAGTTAAGGCTTTCAGGCCTGCTGCACGGTAGCAGCATCATGCTGTGGGGCGCCTTTGCAGCTGTGGTACTGATTCATAGCAGGAAGTTTCTGTAATAGTGGAGGGTCTGATATCTTCAAGTTTGCCTCTGATCAGAGGCTGCGTGATTTAAACTTGGAGACTGGTAGATGCTAGAAGTTTACAGATGGTACAAAAATCTACAGACACATTTAACCAAATATCAGAGAAGGGGAATTGCATATGTTCAAGCCTGTATATATACTCTACAATGGATAAATGATAAATTCTTATTAGCGCACTCCATTGTTATTTTGGATTTACTTGAAGTTGGTAAAAGAACAACTTAAATGAATCATTAAAAGCTCCAACTTTATTTGACATTGATGCACACGGTGAATGAATGTATGTAAACTTCAGACCACAACTGTCTATAACTAGCCACAGATCAGAGAGCAGTTCTGATATCTGATACCTTCTGTCTCACTGAACACTGTTAACTTTGACGCTGATAAATGTTTTCAATCAACATGGAAAATTGTAAAAGTTTTGTCTTTAATTTTGTCAAAGAAATAAAACTGGGATTTTCACAAAATCTTGCAATGCGTTTATCTCCAGACTTGAGGAATGACTGAAACAATAAAATTTTATAGTCTTAAAACAGGACATTAACAGAAAAATACAACTTTTAGATACACACATAGTATGTTGTTGTGACATTTCCATTCCAATAACAGTTTCACAAAAGTGTAAAAGTTCAGAGGAGCATACCGACACACTACAGTTCTCAGCGGCTGGAGTTTTTTTCTGAATAAATCTAAATACTTACATTTAAGAGAAAACTAAAAGGTTTGACAGAAGTACCTTGTTGCATGAAACAAAAACAGCAGAACCATGTGGGGGCTGTTGCTGCCACCTGCTCTTGAAACAGCGTTATTGCACTGTTTCCATGGACCATCCAAAAGACCAGTACCTGGAGAGCGGTGATGTTTTGACTGCATCATGTTAAAAGTAGCATTTAGGGCGCAGATGATTTTTGGTGCACGGTTGTATGTCAGGAGTTGGGCTCGGCTTCTCCTGTTTCTGCTCCAACATGGCGGTTATTAACAAGGCCATGGATGAATGAGTTTCCCATCATTCAATATAAGAGACGAGTTGACATTAGGAGAGTTTTCCTTCAGTTTAGATAGTTGAAGATTCCAACTGAGTAGTTTGCAAATAGGTACAACTCACGCGTTTAGACGTTTAAAAACATTTGTTTTGCTTAGAACAGGGTGGATCTTCTTCTTTATAAGCCTACAGTGACTCTGGCTGTATAGAAAGTCATAAATAGAGCCCAGCAAATGGACTGTTTAGTCTTTAAATACTTTATGAAATTACTCCTTTAAAAAGAAGTAAAGAACTCTACCATCATATAACTTTTCCCTTCTTCTGTTTTTTCTGCTTTTTTTCTGTTTGTTTGTTTGTATTATTGGGACGGTCTGCAAATAATGGTACCAAAACCACCTGGTTTGAGGTATGGTTTATCGTTTGAGTTGCATTGCAGCACAGCATATGAAGAAAAGTGGCTTAGATTTTGAGTATCGAGTGTGAGTAATTGATTCTGAATGCGTTTATTGAATACCAATATAAGACGTCAATGCAAATGGTTGCTCTTTTTTATATATAATTAAGTTTTGTGAAAACTGAACAACATCTAACTTTTTAGGCACATTAAACCTTCCATAGGATTAATAAAATGAGATGGTGAATGCTAAAAAAAAAAATGTTGAGAAGAGTACATGTTCATGTTTTCATTTATGAACTGATAAATTTTTTTTAATTTTCACCTTAATAATCAAACTAATACATGTTAGGGAATAATTTGCAAACTTGCCTGCAGTTAAAACTGATGATGCCGACTAAAGAGGTGAAACCATAACAACAAAATGAAACGCTTTGAATCTTTAAGTGACAGTACAAACAAGATAGATCGAAATTGAAGCACATTTGACTCAAAGTAAATAAATAAACAGCTTTGCAACCAAATATATGAATCACATTCAGTAAAGATACACCAGGTATGTCTCAGTTTGACAATGTTTTCAAGCCGGTTAAGATTATAAGCAAAAAACATGAACGCGAGGAGAAATCTTTATTAGTTTGCAAAGTCTCAGAGGGAGTGGAGAGTCGTTTACATCAGGGAAATAGAGGTGGTACAGGAGGTCAGATATCCTGCCAAACTCTCCAGTCCTGAATATCCGACAGGATGCAGTCCACTCCAGCAGCTTCTGTCTGCGCCCTCGTCCTCATATGCTGCTTTACAGCAAGGTCCAGCATTCCCCTCGAACATGGGACTGAAAGCCTGCAGGCAGCTGGTCTGTTGGTGGTGATCCTGCTGGGGAAAGGAGGTGGAGAGGTGTGTGGCCGGACCATGTGGCTCTGACACCAGGCTGTCCTTCCTCAACTCTTCCCACAGGTTTCCTGCAGTAGTAATGAAATCAGACATGTGGGTTGAATCTGGACATCGGTGATTGATGGAGCTAAATGCAGAGCAAAACTGGGAGAAAACCTGTTAGGCTGAATTCAAACCATGCCTTAGAACGGCCCAGTCAAAGTCCAAATTTAAGTCAAATTTAAGAATTTATGGCAAGTAATAGCTGTTCTTGGCTGTTTGTACAATTTGTTTGAGTTTGAGCTATTCAGTCTCTGGACAGCAAAAATGTCCCTGTGGGATTTGCAACTGTAATTGCAGCAAAAGTTGGTTCTACAAAGTACTTTCTCACCAAAACGAGCAGTAGATTGTGTTCTTCCACGCTGAAGTATGTGGTTTGTGACTAACAAAAGTTCCACAGGCATAAAAACCTTGACATCCTGCAATACGACATGCTCACCTTGCAGCTGAAGGTCCGTCAGACTGGGGTTGAGTGTGTCAATGTCATAGCTGGTGTCTCCGTCTTGAGGTAACTCATGCATTCCCCTCAGGTCAACGTTGTACTCGAAGGGCAGACCAACCCTGTAAACAGGTGGCATTTTCCCAGCCACGGGTGAGTTCAGACATCCAGAGGGTGACGGGATGCCGGCTGCAGGCTGTTGTCCGCAGGGTGAGTACAGGGCAAATGAGCTGCTGGGTTGGAGCGTCGTGTGGGGGAGGTAGCTGGGCTGGTGGGGCTGCATCTGAGCGTACTCTGATTGTGGAATGGGTCGACATGCCAGTGGAGGCTGCGTAGGGTTCAGAGGTAAAGGGCCTGGGCTGTAAGTAGGGGCCACTCTTTTTGATGTGGTCGTGTTTGTGCCTGGGTAAGGTGGAAAAGGTCTCGGTCTGTCTGGCTTCTCTCCCAACAGACGGTCAAAGTCTTCTGTAAAAGAAGATGGAACAAGACGACTTTAAAAGATGTTGACTTTAAATGAAAACATCCATAAGCTCAGTTGTCTTCATCACCTTCTCTCTTCCTCACCTGGCTTTGCCATGCTCCTGCGGATAGTCTGGGGGTCTTTGCGGCGCCATTTGTGCAGCTCTTCCTGCATTTTCTCCACCTTGGCTGGATTTAGACCCCAAAGGCAGCCTTTGCGAGAAGTGTTGCCGTTTTTGTTCTCCACCTTTTCAAAGCATTTGTTCAGGGAAAGGTTGTGCCTTACAGAGTTTTTCCAACCATCAGGGGCATTCTGAACAGAGACAGAGAGGCGAAGTGTTAGGAAATCATTTTTCTTACACTTTATGACCTTGAACTCGAGGCCTGGAATTTGAAGTGCACCATGAACGTTTAGTGCCAACCTTTTATACTTTCTAGCTGTGGTGAAATTGTTAGAAAAGAGAATCCTGCTGATATCCCTGGATTCAGGGCTGATGACACACTTTCTGCTTCCTCGCTGCTACATTGTAGCTAAAAGTGCATAATCTTAAAAGCGGAAAAAATGTGTTCATTATATGGATTTATACTTGCAGTAAATTAACTTTAACTGTTTCGGGAAAATTATAAAAGCATGCTTTTCAGTTACTGTTAGCAATTCTCCAATTAATGCAGGGACATCAATCTCCTCCCTGCAGGGTTCATTTTTGCCAACATCTGCTCTTCTCTTTGATTTGATCTGCATGCCATAACAAGTGCCCACTGAGCCGAACGTAAGTGAAACATACTTGGCAACATGGAGCAGGGTTTTTTTTCTTTAAAATTCATTCAGTGAACATGGCTTTTTCACTGAGGTTTCATTTTTATTTATCCTCCTGAACCTTCTGACCCCACAGCTTGGGTTTTAGCCACCTGTTTGGAAATCAGCCATCAGTGTAGAGATTTTAATAAATAGATAACAGTGTGCTTCGCCAGATCATAGCCGATGGGCTCAGTAATTGTGTATAAGGCACCTTTTTAATATGTATGGTGGAAAACGTTTGAGCTCTTTCCAGATCCGAGTGTCAACGCATCTGAAAATCCGGGTTCGAACTGAGCTCTGACCCCACGAGTGCCGAATGTGTTTAATATTAATGCAACAGGAAGCAGTTTTACAATCCACTCACATCTGTATGCTACTTCCTTCACATTAAACCCTGTGGCAGGCATTTATGGGCATCATTATTATTAACTTTAGCACAAAAACCTGAGCAAATCCTGCAGAATTACATGAACCATTAGTGGCAAATTGTGCACAAATGTTATGTTTCACCTGGATTTATTTAAAAAGTCACCTATTGTTATAAGTTGATGAGCAAACATGTAATTACCCAACAATTAAATGATCCATAGTATCTTCTATGAGGTAATGTTTTACCTTTTAACTGATCCAAGAAGTTGTTGCACTTAAATGAAGTTTAAAAAAAAAAGAGAAGAAAGAAAGTCAGTTCTCTTCTAAGTTTTAAGATTTTCATCTTTTCCATCCATTATTTATTTTGGGGTTTATCCAAACCTTCTGTTTTTGCCATGTTTTTGTGTATTAATAGCGCAACATAAAAACATGTCTCCATTATCCAGGGAAGGACAGGCAGATGGATGGATTCTTTACTAAGGCTTAATTTTACTGTAACTTTTATCTTCTTGCATCTGACCTCATCTTTGAAAACTTGCTATCAAATGTTCTTCCTTCTTCTCTGCTGAAAAGCAAAGCATTACGCTGATGCGAACAAACTTTTTGGTCAGAAACAGGAACAGGTCTTTGTGCATTTTAGTTATTACATGTTTATGCACTAAAATAAAACAGAAGTCCAAGTTTGGTGGCGGCTTTGTTGATTCCTCAATCAAATACTGTCCTTTGGTTGCACTGCTTGTTCTTGCTTTGGTGTTTACGATATTTTAAAAAAATATATATAGGTCCCAAACCCAACACTATGTGAAAGTAATTTTGTTTAATGAACTGTCCGTATCAAGAAATGTGAAGTCAATAATCTTTGACAGTTCACTTTTGTGGCAAATTAGCTAAATTGACTCTATTTGACTTCGAGTCGCTGTTTCCGAAACACAAAGTGTGACAACATGCTCACAGAAATAGCAGATGTGTTTAAATAAAACAAACAAATGACTTACTTCCATAAGTATCAAAAGAGTACATTTCCATTCGTGAAAGTCACATGTTGAAAGATGTTGCACATTCACATTGCATGAGCCTTATATTCCCTTAAACTAT